TAAAAAAGCGTACTCCTGCAAGCTGGCTCTGTAGCGCCGTGCCCGCCAGTATGCTGCGCACCCTCCAGCGCGCACGCGCCGCGCTAGTATCACCGTTGCAGCGTCAGCACTAGCAGTAGCATCTGCAGCGCTGCTTTCAACAGCAACGCCATTTTAATTCACGGGCCGCAGGTGTGTCATGTCATGCGCTGACGAACCCATCTACCCACCCACTCGCATAATAATGTGGAGGCTTGTCAAACAAACATATTATTGTGACGATTGTGCCGAATGGGCGGGACGCTGTTGTGTTAGGGTGGGGGTATTGGGAGTAAGGCAAGGGTACTCTCACTCTGCGGATGCACGATTACTTTACGTTTATTATTCGGGCCCAAACTTTACGTTTATTATTGGGGTTCCCAATTGGGGAGTTTTGACTTCGGCCGGTTTCGGGCGAAGGCTTTCGTTTCCCGGCTCAAATGTTTGGGTTTCGGTTCTGGGGTTCACGTTCGCGTGGACCCCAGTCCACCTCTCTCATATCTCAAGCGCGGCAACTGCACTCGGAAGACTGAATTCGGAGACGCTGGACTCGCACGAATTCAGCTTCGTGCGAGTTCAGCATCGTGCGAGTGCAGCCCTTTGTCCCCAGGAAGGCGAGGTCCCGCTCAGATCTGCACGGTGCCTCACTCCGCTGAACCCACCTGACTCCTTGGTAAGTGGCAACATTCTCGCAGATCGCAGCCCCCAAGGGACGGCGAGGTCCCGCTGAGATCTGCACGGTGCCTCACTCCGCTGGACCCACCAGCAGCCTTCGAAAATGGCAACATTATCGCAGATCGCAGCCTCCAAGGGACGGCGAGGTCCCGCTGAGATCTGCGCGGTGCCTCACTCCGCTGGACCCACCAGCAGCCCTCGACAGCGGCGACAATGTTGCAGAATGCACCCCCCCAAGGACGGCGAGGTCCCACTCAGATCTGCGCGGTGTCTTACTCCGCTGGACCCACCAGCAGCCCTCGAAACTGGCGACAATTTCGCTGATCGCAGCCCCCCAGGGACGGCGAGGTCCCGCTGAGATCTGCGCGTTCCCTCGCCCCGCTGGACCCATCAGGAACCCCCGAAAGTGGCGACAGCTTCGCAGATCGCAGCCCCCCAACGACGGCGAAGAGAGGGCAGGAGGCGGGAGGAGGCGCAGACGCGACCGCGGTGCTCCATTCAAAACGAATGCCCAACCAAGGGGGGTCGGGAACAATCCAGCGTTGTCAAAGGAAAACAAGTATCAACTAGGAAAACGCTTTTTTATTATTATTTTGATTCGGTCTGTATATATATATATAAGACAAACATGCAAACGACCTACACGTAACATCCGTTGTTGTAGCGGTCCTTTACATAACAGTGATTATTTTTTTGTGGCGACATTACAACGGATTATAGTTGTGGAGGGTATGCGGTGGCCTCCACACGTATGATCCTCATGTAGCAGCCTGTACACAAGGGTTCCTTTGTGGCAGCCTTACACAAAAGGGTTCCACGTGGGGGATCTGCTGTAGCAGCACCGTGAGCCCAGGAAAGCTCGAGAGGAAAGCAGGAGAGGCAGGAAGCATCTTAAAATGCTTGCGTTCTCACAGGGGAAGGCGTGGCAAATGTAGGAACACCTGTGACTGGTGCGTTCCTTTTTAATGCGCAGGTGATCTGCACATAAAATCAGTTTGCAGAAGCCTTTTACACAAGTATTCCTTGTGTGGCAACCTTACAACAAGAGGATTGGAATTGTGGGGGGTCTGCAATGTCCTTTACAATCCAACTGTTGTTTTGCCGCAACCTGTACACCTGTACTCCGTTTGTGGCAGCCCGCCAGAACGGTTTCCATTGCGGGGGGATCTGCAGTTGCTGCATCTTGAACCCAGGAAATCTGAAGAGAAATGCGTGGAAAAACATGGAAACCAACAACTTAAAAACGTGAGTCTTCACATAAGAAATCGAAGACTGGAGAAGAACCTGATACTGTTGCCATCTGTATTTGTACACCACATACAAAGCTGGCAGTCACATGTTTCCTTTCGTTCTTATATTTCCCATGTGGAAGCACAAGGTTGTTTCATGTTGTTGTCCCTGTGTTCCTGGTACGCTTTCGCGCCCCCCAGGCGCTGCCTCTGGAAAACACAACAATCAAACTTGATGCGTAAATGGGATACACATTGATGTTGTTTGTCGTTGCCCCTGGTAGCCCCCACATTCAAAACCAATTTGCAAATTGATGACGCGTTTATCTTGATGTTGGGGTAGTGTACTGAGGGCGCCGCGAATCGCTGACACTTACCAGGAACATCGGAAAACAAACAAGACAAGCATGACAAAACGTGTGTTGTCATAGGGTAAGTGTTTTATAAAAAGGAAAACACGTGATTGTTGCCATCTGTATGTGTAAAAGAAACGAAAACACTGGCAGTCACATGCTTTCCCTGGTTATTACTATTTTATTATGTGAAAACACAACGGTGGTTCATGTGTTTGTCCTGCTTTCCTGATAAGGTTCCGCGGCCCCCACGCGCTGCCTGTGGGAATTCCCCACAATCAAAATCAATGTGCGAATGGATTACACATTGACTTTGATTGTCGCTGTTTCTGGAAATCCCCACGATCAAAAATCAATTCGCAAATGGATTACCCATAGATTTTGATTATGAGGGTTTATAAATCGAAATCTATCTTTGGCAGCTCAAACAAAAATTCACAATGCTGTTTTCACCTAGTTGCAATCGAGCAAACAGAAGGTCCTACGGGTGGGGACGGGGCAGAAAAAACGGGCGCGAGGAGGAAGGGGGAATGAACGCGCCGCAACGCACCGCCGCGCTGCTGCAGCACAGCGCGAACTGGAGCAACGACACATGCGCCTGGAACGCAGCACAAACCAACCCGCCACAAACGATGCCTGCCAGTTGAAACATGTCTTACTGCGACGCGCCCCGAAACCCAGATGGCAAGCCACATCCGCGCGGCATCATACAGGCGGAGGGGCCAAAAAAGAACCACGAGGGAAATGGAGAACGCCGGAGAGAGGGGGGGAGGAAGAGACTCAAACGGAAATGGGCTGCGCAGACCAAGTGTCCGCGGAGGTCGAGCCTCCCATGAGGAAAATGCTGCAGAGGCGACGGCAGGACAATTGTTTCTTTCGACGGGGGAGATCCCAATGCATGCATCGGTAAGCTCATCCTCCTCCTCCTCCTCCTCCTTCCCCTCCTCCTCCTGATCCTCCTCATCCACGCTGCTTCTCATTGGCCAGGTAGCGCGTCGGTTTCCTTGCGATCCTTTTTCTACGAACGTCGGAAAATGAGCGGGTGTGTCAGAAAGTGGGTCGAGACATCCTCGCAATATAAAACCAACAGCGCCCGCGATGTACCTCCTAGCGGCGCCCCTCGGCGGTCCCCATATGCCACGCCTGCTACATCACGACGACCACGCAACCCTCAACAGTAATGAACGCAATGTCGTTTGTGCTTTTAACAAAAAACGCTTGAGGCATCCTTCACAAACTGGGCACCAATGAAGAAGTGTCCTACCCGCCATTGCACCGCAATGTTCACGCAGCCGGGGAAAGAGACACGTCAACCTCTCAATAACCATCGTTTCGTGTGGGACATTATCCCCACAATCTGGGCACTGACCCGCAAGTGTCGTGCCCCCTGGCGGCTAGCCCATTGAACTGCCCAAGTTGTATGTCTACTACGTCGTCGCGGCGACTGCGCAGCTCTAGAAAAAGACGCGTCGACATTCCAAAAAGCAAGCATTTCAATTCACATGGGCGCGAACGCACCCGTGATGTACCCCCTGGCGCCTCCCCCCTGTGGCGCCCAAAAGTGATGGCTGCTACACCGCGATCGCCACGGCCTGAAAACACATCTCTAACTTCCAAGAGCCACCTCTTCGAAGGCGGCGACCTCACAATCTGAGCGCAAACGGGCAAGTGCCCGACCCTCTGGCACCCTCCCTCCCTCTCAGCGGTGTCGATGTGTTCGTTTTCTTCGTGGCGGCCCTGAACAAAAAACACGCCCACCTCAAAAAGCCAGCGTCTTACGTGAGATATCTCCCAAATGCTGGGCGCCAACGGGCAAGTGTCCTACCCCGTGGTCGCTCCCCCGTGTGGCGCTCAAGGGCCATGGCGTGAAAAAGACGCGCCTACATCCGTGAAACAAGCGAACCGCTGGAGACATCCCCACAATCTGGGCACGAACCGGTAAGTGACCCATCCTCTGGCGACACCACGTTGCGTTGCCCAAGCGCTACGCCTGTCACATCGGGATGATTCTGATCGTGAGATGGAGAAGGAGGGAGGAAGAAGGAGTGAATAGACAGAGGCGCGACACGGATAACAATAATTCAAGACGTAGAAGATGGGAATGAGCTCCGCAACATCCTCCACGAGACGTGCAACTGCCCGCACAATGACCCATAATGGCCGTCGGACCATTGCTCTGCACGCGTTCGACGAAAACTGGCGGCAATCAGGCCGGCCCAATGTGATGGGGCATCGCTTCGATGTTGACGTTCGTCAACCGTGCGTTTGATTCGCCCGTGTCGTCCAGCTCACCCATCTGAGCCAAAGAAACCGGTTTCTCGGGGATGGACAGACCCCCCTTTAGTAAAACGTGGTTTAGTGAAAACGACCTGAGGCCCAAACCTGGCGGGCGCAAGCCTGGAAAATGACGGCCGCGGCGCCCTCTCGAGAACCGAAAACGGAAAATTCACGAATCGACGTGTCAGGGTAGGAGGTCTATCCACTTCCGAATTTCAACTGACACATCCTCACGATTCGCTCTTAAACTGGCCATTGCGTGCCGGTGACGCTCGCGGTGTGCTGCCCGCGCCGAGGCGAGAGCGTCGCTTGGACGGACTCCTGGCCACTGTGCGGCAGCTCGGCCCGCAGAGCAGCTCCAACTCGAACTAGAAGCGTGCGCAGGTAGTGTGCCGGATGCTGGAGACGAGACGGCTCTGGAGGAAGGTACATACTTATCCCACACAGCTCACTTCTTCCTCGTTTGCCTCGGGCTCCAGGAAGTCTGCCTTTTGGCCTCTGGAGGGGAAGCCCCTGTCTGAATGAGAAGCTGTTCTTGAGAACTCTTCCCAAAGATGACGGTGCAACCCGTACACGAGTTACTCAATGGAGCCGATGGACAGAAGGGGGCTTCAATGACCAAACGCCCCTGCCCATGACGGCGAAGATCAACACTCCCTGAGAACTGCTGCCTTCGATCCACCGCCTGAGTTCCAGCCAATAGTATCATGTATCCTGTCGAAATTAGAAGTCTCCACAACCACCTCCTCCAACCTGTCCCCCGTACACGATTGGGATTTTCACTCTAATAGACAGAGTTGTTGCTGCTATGCCATCGCCGCCCTCACAAGGGCCGAAGCAACTGGGACATGCTTGGCCCCTTCACGATGCACTGCGAAAGAATCTTGCTGCCCCTGGAATGGTCGGCTCGATCGACAATAGCTAGGAGGAGGAGGAGGAGATGGAGGAGGAGGAAAGGGAGGAGGAGGAGGAGGTGGATGAGGAGGAAAGGGAGGACGAGGAGGAGGAGGAGGAGGTTGTGGAGAACGACACCGGCCCTGCCTGGCCCCGGCCGCACCGATCTCGTTGCCCTCCGCGTACACGCGCCGCACCGGCGCACGGCTCGTGGCCAGCGCGGCGGCGAGGGCGGCAGCCCCGCGGTCGCCGATACCGTTGTGGCTGATGTGGAGGCGGACGACGGAGTCGCTCGCCTCGCGCGTCAGCGCCTCTCACTGGGGGGGCGTAAAACCGCAGCACCCCACAGTGGCGGATGAGGGCGAAAGGGTGGGTCGCGGGGTAGATTGCGACGACCGCATCGCTCGCCTCGCGCGGCAGCGCCTCTGAGGGGGAACGTTAACCGTAGCACCCAACGATTGCGGATAAGAGTGAGGGGGTGTGCGCGGGGTGGGTCGCGGGCATGTCGCGGGGAGGGGCGTGAGGTGGGTCGCAGGATGGGTCGCGACGACGGCCTCGCTGGCCTCGCACGTCAGCGCCTTTGAGTGGGAACATTGGCTACAGGACAGGGCGATCCATACTCTGTCGACGGCATCGCTCGCCTCGCGCGTCAACGGCCCTGGGGGGAACGTTAAACCGTACTGCCCCACTCTTGCGGGAAAGAGAAAAGGGATGGGAGCGGGGCAGGTCGCGGGAGGGGACGCGAGGTGGGTCGCGAGGTGGGTCGCGACGAAAGGCATCGCTCGCCTCGCGCGTCAGCGCCTCTGAGGGGGCAAGTGACCGTAGCACTCAACGATTGCGGATCAGAGTGAGGTGTTTGGCACGGGGTGGGCCGCGGGCAATTCGCGGGGTGGGACGGGGGGTGGGTCGCGACGAAAGGCACCGCTCGCCTCGCGCATCAGCGCCTCAGAGGGGGAACGTTGACCGAAGAAGCCCATGATTGCGGACAAGAGTGAAGGGGTGGGCGCGGGGAAGGTTGCGGGTGCGTGTGGTTCGCGGGGTGGGTCGCGACGAAGACATCGCTTGCCTCGCGCGTCAACACCTCTGAGGGGGAACGTTAACCGTAGCACCCCACAATGGCGGATGAGGGTGAAAGGGTGGGCGCGGGTATGTCGCGGGGAGGGGCGTGAGGTGGGTCGCAAGATGGGTCGCGACGACGGCATGCTCGCCCCGCGCATCAACGCCTCAGAGAGGGAACGGTAACCGTAGCAGCCCACGATTGCGGATAATGAGGGGGTGGGCGCGGGGAAGGTTGCGGGAGCGGGTCGCGGGGTGGGTCGCGACGACGGCATCGCTCGCCTCGCGCGTGAGCGCCTCTGAGGGGAACGTCAACAGTAGCACCCCACAATTGAATATAAGAATGAAGAGGTTGGCGCCGGGTGGGTCGAGGGTGGGTCGCGGGCAAATTGCGGGGTGGGTCGCGACGACGGCATCGCTCGCCTCGCGCGTCAACACCTCTGAGGGGGACCTCTTACGGTAGTTTCCAGAATTGCGGATGAGGGTGAAGGGGTGGGCGCGGGGCGGGTGGCTGGAGGGTCGCGGGGTGGTTTGCAAGGTGGGTCGCGAGGTGGGTCGCAGGCTGGGTCGCTACGACGGCCTCGCTCGCCTCGCGCTCCTTAGCTTCTGAGGGGGAACGTCAACAGTAGAATCCGACAATTGCGGATAAGAGTGAGGGAAAGCGCGGGGCAAGTCGCGGGTCGCGGTTGGGTCGCGGGGTGGGCCGCGGGGTGGATCGCAAGCTGTGTCGCGACGAAGACATCGCTTGCCTCGCGCGTCAACGCCTCTGCAAGGGAACGTTGTCCGTGACACCCCACAATTGCCGTGGGCGCGGGGTGCGTCGCCGAGAGATCGCGGGAGGGGTCGCGGGCAAATCGAGGGGTGGGTCGCAAGGTGGGCCTCGCGGGGCCGTGAGATGGGTCGCACGATGGGTCGCGACGGCGGCATCGCTCGCCTCGCGCGTCAACGCCTCTGAGGGGGAAAACCGTAGCAGCCCACCATTGCGGATAAGAGTGAAGGTGTGCGCGCAAGGTTGGTCGCGACGACGGCATCGCTCGGCTCGCGGGGCAACACCCCTGAGGGGGAGCGTCAACGGTATCACCCAACAATTGCGGATAAGGGTGAGGGGGTGGGCGCGGGGTGGGTCGCGAGGTGGGTCGCGACGAAAAGCATCGCTCGCCTCGCGCGTCAGCGCTTTGAGGGGGAGCGTTAACAACACACAATTGTGGTGAGAGTGAGGGGGTGAGCGCAGGGGTGTGCCGCACGGTGGGTGGCGACGACGGCATCGCTCGCCTCGCGTCGCGCGTCAGCGCCTCTGAGGGGGACCGTTAACAGCAACAGCACGCAACTCCGGATCAGAGTGAAAGGGGTGGGCGCCGTTCGCGGGCAGGTCGCGGGGTGGGTCTCGGGGTGTGGCGACGACGGCACTGGTCGCCTCGCGCCTCAGCGCTTCTGAAGGGGAACGTTAACCGTAGCACCCAACACTTGCGGATGAGGGTATAGGGATAGGCGCGTGGTGGTTCGCGGGGTGGGTCGCGGGGTGGGTCGGGTCGCAGAGTGATTCGCGGGTGGGTCGCGACAACGGCCTCGCTCGCCTCGCGCGTCTGCGCTTCTGAGGGGGAACGTTAACTGTAACACCTCACAATTGCGGATAGGAGTGCGGAGACGGGTGCGGGGTGGGTCGCGGGGTGGGTCGTGGGCAGGTCGCGGGTCGTGGGTGTGCGCAGTGGTGGGTCGCAGGGTGGGTCGCAGGGTGGGTCGCCGGGTGGGTCGCGGGGTGGGTCACGACGATGGCATCGCTCGCCTCTCGCGTCAGCGCCTCTGAGGGGGGAACGTTGGCGGCCCAGAGATCAAAAAACTGAAAACCTTGGATCGGTAATTATTTTGCTATTTTCGGCATCCCAGGCCCCTCAACGGGCCCCGGGGCCGCAATTGAAACAACAACTCGGGATGAAATAATGGTCCTAGAGAAATGGTCCAGACCTCAGAGGGCCCACGCATCGCAACAATTTGAGCGCAAAATGTCTGGGGGGAAGTACCGTGGCACCCCGCAATTGCGAATAAGAGTGAGCGGCGGGGGGGGAATCGTCAGCAGTCTGCAAGGGCCTGAGTCTGCCGAAGCAACTTTGAGGAAGCACGCTGCAGGCACCGATTTTGTTTATGACACATCCAGCCCGCCGCAAACGCCGACGGGATTTTGTCGCTGTTATCTTCTGCCTCCCGGGGCCCTCGCTGGGCCCTGGACCAGCCAGAAATGGCTCGGGACGAGAAACCGGTCTGGGGGCAAGGGTCGTGACTTCCAGGGACCGGGCATCAAATAAACACATCCGCAGGTGGCAGGGGGGGGGTCAGGCGGACGAATCCGCCGACACCTTGTGGGTCTGTAGGCATTCTTCCGTTCCAGAGAACCAACCAGAACCCTGAAACTTGAAATTCAACCCCAGCCCCCATGCCCCGGCTCGGCCCCCAGATGGGTTCCTCAGCGGAGGGGTCCAGACTCTGGGGGGAATGCAAGCTGGCCCAAGAGGTCCCCCGAGCTAGTCCAAGATGGCCAAGAATCTACGAAAGGTTCTCTCAAGGTCCCCAAGCTGGATCCAAACAGAAACGCCTCCAAGACGCCTGGAGAGGCCTTCAAGATCAGTTATCGGCGGGGCCCCGCTCGCAAAAATCGCCCCGTTGCCGAACGAAAGCGTACTTTGTAACCAGATTCGCCCCTTCCGCGTTCACAGCGTGGAAGACGCCCACAAAGCCCACCAAAATCGAGCCAGAACGGCCCCAAGGCCTTCAGGAGAATTGAAGAGGGCCCCCGCACGGCCCAAAAAACCTTCAAAATATCGCAAACACGGGCCAAGAGTGGGAACACGGACCCGCTTTTCGAGCTCTGTGACCGGCAGCAGACGCCCCAGAAGCTATCAAGTACCCCCAGGAGGTCCCAGAAAACCCATACGAACCCCCAAATACCCCCCCAATGGCATACAAAACCCAAACTGGCCCCCATATTGCTCTAAATTTCTACACCAAGTCGACCATCAGGCCCCCATGAACGCCAAGGTCAGTGCTGTTCATCGTGCTTATCGTTGACGTTAGCCATCTCGCAATTTCGATCTCCCAACAACATATTGCAGCCAAGCCTCCAATGAAGACCCCAGCACGGGCCTAGACGGTCGAAGTTGGCCTCCAAAACGCCTTACGGACAAGACCCAGGACTGCCACGATGGCATCCAAGACGGCGAAGATGGTTCAACATGGGGTCCCCCGCTAATTCGAAGGGTCGGCAGAACTGGCGCACTCCTACAGAGACCGCGTCCGGAAGGAACGCGTTGCCAGAGGCAGGTCCGCGAATGCTACAGTGCAACATATCGGACACATTTAAGTATTGCACAATTGCACATTTGCGGCACGTGTATTTTTTTGCCAAGCGATGCTGCCCCCTAGCGCCCCGCCTGAGTCACGCAACGCCCGTGAACCAAAGGTGCCCCCCCCACTTCTGGGCTCCAAGAACCAACCAATATGTAAAGAAAATGTATGGATTGGGCTTCGTGGGGGCCCAATAGTGCCTCATGACGGCTCAAGGGGGCCCCAAGATGGTCCACGGCCCCAAGACGGCCCAAAACTGCCGAAGAGGACCCCCCAAAACGGCCCAAGATGGTCCCAAGAGGACCCCCAAGAGGGCGCCTGGAGGCCATACTACCAACGATTCTAGCGTTCTCGTTTTTTTTTTTTTTTTTTTTTTTTTTTTTTTTTTTATATATATATATATATATATATATATATATATATATATATATATATATATATATATATATATATATATATATATATATATATATATTATTATTATATATATATATAGTATTATTATTATTATTAATAATAATAATATATATATAAATATCGGGGACCCCTTTCGATCCAAGCAGCCTGTAAGATGGCCCAAGGCAGCCCCGGAGGCCCCCAATAAGGAAACGAACTCTATACACCGACGCTTTTCCCGACCCTGCGCTGACATTCGCACAGGAACGCGGATTCTGGCGCGCATGGGACCCTGGTGTATATATGTTTCGATGTTTTCCTGGGACGTCGGGGAAAACGTATACACCGCACCACGCCCCAGCGTCGTCCCCGACCCTCAAAAAGCCCTGGGGTTTAAGAAACAGCCCTCCTGGGGCAATGTCTACGTTCCAATCTCCGATCAAGATGCCCCCGCCCGAAAAGGCCGCAAGATTGCCCGAAAAGGCCGCCATGACGGCCCTGGAGGCCCTCGAGACGGCCCAGG